TGTGTGTGTGTGTGTGTGTGCATTTGCTGTATGTGTAAGTGCATGTGCTTGCTTGACGGTGAATCCAGTTTGTGAGCGGTTTATTCCTCGTTTTCATGCGTGTCCGCTTCGGACGGACGCCTCCGTCTGTTTCACTGCTCTCGCTCTATCTATGTTTTTTTCTTTTCTTTTCTGCTCCGCGTGTTTACTCGGTGCCTCACGTGGTTGTCGTCGCTGCAGGATAGGGGATTTCGCGGATAGCCAAGCGAACAACAACAGCAGTAAAAGAAAACGCGTTGAAAAAGGCGGATTAAAACAACAGCAGCAACACCAGGAAGATGCTTCGTCGCGCTGTTGGGCCACAGGCCTCGCGGATTTTGGCGAGGACGTCGAGTTCGGTCCGCTGCTTCACCAACTATGACCACATGAAGTACCCTGTGGATCGTCAGGCCTTTTTCTGTGTTCTTGGGTACTTTCTCGTGATGTGGATGATTATGGCGCGCACGGGCAGCCTCTTCACGAAGCGCTCGGAGTACAAGCGGGAATACTTCCGCGTCTGGGTTCGTAAGCTCGGCACGGGCTACCAGTGGTCTGACGCATGGGGACCGCAGATGGACACGGTATGGAAGAACGTCCCGGACCGCGTGGAGTAACTTGGGTAAACGCAATATTTGCCTGCCTCCATGGCTCTCTCTAGTAGTATAGTAAGGGGTCTGTTAGTAAACGAGGGAAAAGGGGGGGGGGGGAGAACCCTAACCCTTGTTGTTGTTTCTTTCCGATAGATATATTTATTTATTATGGGGTTCTGTGTGCGCGTGTGACAACACTGGTGGGGAATAGTAGTGGAAAATGCAAGAGGGATGAATACTGTGTAGTAGTCGAAAGTGAGGCAGGATGTTTTCGTGGCCGTCGTGTTTGGGCGCGTATGCGTTGCATGCGCCTGCGTGTTTTTCTGTGTTTGCGTGCGCGTCCTCGGCGACGGCCGCATCCTGCCTCCCCCGTCTCCCCCTCTCCCTGAAAGGAGACAGGAATACGCCTGCAATGGAAACGAGGGAAAGAAGCTGGGGAAAAGCGAACAACGAGCACAACACGGAACACCAAAACGAGAGCTTCAAGGGCGGTGTCTCAGCTTATCCAGTGGAGGGGCCCTAAGGAGTAGATGCCATCGTTGCCATCTTCCACTGTTTTTTTTTTGACTTGGCAGCCGTGCGCGAGTTGTGTTTAGGCCACAAATAAATAAATAAAAAACGAAGACAGGGATAAATAGCTAGAGCTTGCGTGAAGAAAAGGCGAGGTAAACGAAGAAGAATCCTGTGGAGTTATATAATTCACTTTATTCATCCATGCGACGAACGCCGTGTGTCTTTTGCAAGGCTGTTTTTGATTTGAACAATGCGGCGCGGTTTGCCACGGGTGTTGTGCTGGACCGCCCCGTCGCTTTCCTCAATGGCAAATTCGTGACCCCTGCCGCAGGTGCAACCATCGCCGTGGAGGACCCCTGCACCCAGACATTTATTGGCGAGGTGCCGAACTTGGGAAGGGACGACACGATGCAGGCGATTGGCGCGGCCAAGTCGGCCTTTGAAGGCTGGAAAAAGGTGATGCCGCGAGAGCGTGCTGTAATTATTCATCGCTGGGCTCAGTTGATGCTTCACCATAGCGAAAGCCTTGGAGCTATTCTCTCGCGCGAGTCTGGCAAGGCCCTTGCGGAGGCCGTGGGCGAATGCCTGTATGCGGAGCGCTACCTTGAGTGGTACGCGGGGGAGGCGGAGCGGGTGTACGGCGACATCGTCGGTGGGCCCCGTGAAGGGGTCACCACGACTATTCTCCGGCGCCCGCTCGGGGTGGTGGGGGTCATTACGCCCTGGAACTTCCCCTCCTCGATGGTGACCCGGGCGGTGGGTGGCGCCCTGGCTGCAGGGTGCACGGTTGTACTCAAGCCGTCTGAGTATACCCCGTTTAGTGCTCTGGTGTTGGCGCAGTTAGCGGCGGTGGCAGGCGTGCCACCCGGCGTCTTTAATGTGCTAACCGGAGATGCCGAGCCGATTGGAGACACGCTGCTGGACTCCTTTGAGGTGCGCAAGATCGCCTTCACAGGGTCTACGAGGACTGGAAAACACTTGTATGCCCGCTCTGCCGCCACCATGAAGAGGCTTGGGCTGGAGCTCGGTGGCAACGCACCATTCATTGTGTTTGATGACGCCGATCTCAACCGGGCAGTTAGCGGCCTTATAACCTCCAAGTTCCGCAATGCAGGCCAGGCGTGCATCAGCAGTAATCGGGTCTTTGTGCATGAATCCATGCATGATGCTTTTGTGGCGCGGCTTGTCGAGAAAATTCGGGCGACAGTGCGCGTGGGTAACAGCTTTGATGCGAATGCAACGATGGGCTCGCTCATCCATGGCGCAGCCGTGGATAGGGTGGAAGCGTTGGTGCATGACGCCGTGGCAAAGGGCGCCAAGGTGGAACTGGGTGGCACGCGCCTTCCTGGCCCTGGATACTTCTTTGAACCCACCGTTATCACATGTGTGCAGCACGACACAATGAACTGCTGTCAGCAGGAAGTGTTTGGCCCAATTGTGCCGATCATCAAGTTTTCGAGTGAGTCGGAGGTGGTCCAGCTGGCCAATGCCACTCGCTCCGGCTTGGCGGCGTACATTTACACCCAGGATTACAGAAGACAGAGCCGTGTTGCGGAGCAGCTGCAGTTTGGCATGCTGGGCGTGAACGACGTGGGCCTATCCTCGCCATCTGCGCCTTTTGGTGGGGTGAAGGAGGGCGGACTGGGTCGGGATGGCTCCAAGTACGGCATTGACGCGTTTGTCGACATTAAATATGTCTTGGAATCGCGTGTTTAACGAGACGTCCTTTTCAACAACAACAACAATAAAAAAATATGTAAGCTTTGTTTTCTTGCGTGTGCTTTTTTTTGCTTCTCTTCTCGCGTTGGTGTACCAAGGTGGTCCTCGCTCACGCACTCGCAGCTTTTCCCTTTCTGTTTCCTTCTCTGTGTGTCTGTGTGCAACGGTGCCCATAACGCCCAAACCTCCTATTACAAGGTAAGGCAGTACATAGATATTCGCAGTGGGAAGGGGTAGGGAGACGAAGAGAGATAGTGAGAGGAAGGGAGGGAGGGAGGGAAATGCGGTTTCTTCTCGCTGCCTTGTGTATCCTGGTGTCGTTGCTTTCTGTTAGTTGGGGCACCGCCACGGCGCTCTGTCCGTCCAATGGCAACACGCACGTCATCTACGTGACGTCCAACATGGGTGACAACATCTGGGCCTTCGACACCGCCGGCCAATACATTGGCCTTGTACTAAACAAGAGCTCTTTTCCATTTCGCGTTGATAAGCTTCGTGACATGAAGTTTGGCCCTGGTAACCATCTCTACGTGACTAGTGCGCGCGGGACATACAGCCGTGTGTTTGCCGTGTCCGGGAATGGCCTGCTTAACCGCACGCTTAACGAGGGGTGCACCCGGAACTATCTCTTTACCGTCACTACGCAAAGCAGCAAGAACCCGTTTCTCGATCACCCGTACGCGGTGGCATTCCACCCAGTGGACGGTTCTCTCTTTGTGTCTAACCAAAACTCCGTCACGGTTACAAAGTACGTACGGGTTGAGGGTGGCAAGGGTGCGTTTCCGCAATGGGAGCCGGCGCAGAACGTGGCGCAAGCCATCTCCAACGCATCAGTGCTGGACGGCGTTTCAGCGAAAGCCGGTTTGTTTGCATCCTCGTGGAGCAATGCGTACTCGTTGCGCTCCGTGCGTGGGTTGGCTCTCTCACCACCGCTCCCACGTGCCCTTGTAGAGCAGGCTGCTCCGGCTGGGTATTACTCGACGCTACGAGGACTCGCCTATTACGTTATTGTGTGTGACCTGGCGGCTGACCGCCTCCAAGTGTTTCTTGCTGAAACAGGCGAGCATGTGTTTTCCATACCCGTTGCAGCTCCCGTGCAGGTCCTATTCCCGTCGCGGTATGAGGCGCCCATCAGTGCGCCCACGTCATTCTTTGAAACCCCATACGTGTATGTGACGAGTAAAGAAGATGGCTTGGCGTTCCTCGTTCCGCTGGTTGCCTCACCTCGCTCTGCCAATATGGGCGGTTTCGCCGACCCCCAGCGACGGCCGAAGGCGTACGCCATCACAAAACGGGGTCCACACCACTCCCTGAGTGGCATCTACGAGAACCCATCACATGAGATGCTGTTAATCGCAGACCGTGTGGGTCGGAGGATCTCAACCTATGCCTCACCGTTTTTGGTAGACAGCAAAAAAGGATCTGAGTCCTCCCCCTTTCTTGGGCACTTCTCTTCGCGACTTCCTGACCAGCCGGAGTTTATCCTGACGACTATGGTGGAGCAACAAAGTTCCATACCCTTCTGTTACGAGCTTAGTGAAGATGGTTCATTCCGTTACGTCGCTCTATGTACGGCGGGGTACATGTGGGCCTTGGGAATACTCTTTAGCTTCATCGTCGCCGCCATCTATTGCGTCTTGCGTAAGGTGCGTCGCTGTCAGGAGCGGAGTAGTAAGCATGGAAGGGAACACGTGCAAATTCCAAATAGCCCCATCGCGGAAGAAGCACCGTTGGTGGACGATAACCGTGTGGAGGGTTACGGTACGGTCAACTGAAGCCTTCACTAATTAAGCTGCATCTTATTTTGTTTTGTTCTGTTTTTATTTGTGTGTGTTGGTTGGTTAGTTGCTGCTCCTCCCTCTCCTTTTGACTCCCAGCCGCGGCCAACCCCAGGGGGGCGTGCGGGGAAGACGGAAGCCAACAGCCAGAGAAAAGTGAGCCACCACCGCGTGTTGGTGAGCCCATTCGCAGTGCGGAAGCGAAAGTGCTGGTTTTCCGGCGGCTGACGGGAAACGCCCAACACCCACCGAGTCCCTTCCGCTGCCAAAGTGGAAGTGGAGAACGATGTAATCAACAATAATAACAGAAGATGGGAAGAGGAAACCAAAAAAGAAAAAAAACACCAATAGTGAGGGGAAAAAGACACGCAAGCGCAAGGAAGAAGCTCCGTTCTTGCGTCTGTGGCGCAAATCAGATGGCGAAGACGCAGGAGTTACCTCGAAAGGGAGGATCGAAAATAATGGTCTTTCACGCGGTTGGTGCGACTACACACAGGGATGCGTGTGGCTATTTGTCGCTTTTTTGTTGCGCCCACCTTCGCTGAGTGATGTGTGGCGCTGGAGAGAGAAGGAGAGCGAGAGAGACGCGGATGAGAATTAGGAGAAATAAGCAGTTTGCAATAAGGAAACGAAAATAAAAGAAACGACGCGTGGCGGAGCGGCTGTATACAAATGTGTTCTGAAGGATATGCAGGTAAACCATGAAGACCACAGGCGGAACAACACCCGCAGCCCACGGAGAAATGTGCCTGTATGTAAACATCTCTTTGCTGCCCCTTTCCACTCCTCACCAGCTCTTCTTGACTGCTGGAAATATCACTTTGCACACCTTCCGCTTTGTTTTTGTTTTTTTCTCTCTCTCTCTGTTTCCGCCGTGGGACCGACCACACACACACACACACCCAGTGGTTTGAGCAGAGGTCGTTGTACTTGGACGGGGGGCGTGCGCAAACAAGTCGATGCTGCGCTCGACGCATCTGTGGTTGCATGGACCAGCAGCGCGATCGCAGTCTGTGCTTGCGGCACTGCTACGCATCCGGCACCAGCATCAGCGTCCACCGCATTCCCTCAACCGCCGGGATGCACCGATGCAGTTGTTGTCCTCCTCGCATGACCACGTTGTTTCTGCATTGCAGGAGCGGCAGCAGTTGGTGGACGAGGCGATGAAGATTCTCCGAAAAGAAGTCCGTGGCGGTGACGCCCTCTCAGACGTGGATGCCGCGTCGGCCAATTTTTGCGTTGAGGTGGGAAAGCTGTTGAGCGTCGCGGCGGCGTTTGGGGCCACCACGACTACCCCTCGCGTCGCCGAGGCGCTGCAGTGGGTGCGGATGAACAAGAAACAGCTGGTGTCCATGCGGCAGGTGATGTCCATCTGCGTGCCTCTGCTTAACCTCAAGGACGGCAAGACGGCCGGAAGACGCTTCGTGATGGAGGAACTCAGCACACAGCTGCTGGAAGCCCTGGAGGCCCCAGTTCCCACGGCGGCGTCTTCCGAGTCGGAACTAAAGCAACACCGCAGCGCCGTCGTCTCAGTCTTTGTTCTTGTGGGGAGAATCCTGGAGAGTGACAGTGGCGATGCTGATGAAGCGAAGAGGGCCGCCGGCGAGGACGGCCTCCACCACGTCCCTCCAATGGAGGATTCCCTCGTGTTGTACCAAAAGGCATCGCTGCTTTTCACAAAAGGTGTTCATGCACTTCTCACGTCGGCGAAGCGGTCGCTTCCGCCGCTTGATATTTCTGAATGTGTTCACATACTGCATGCCTGTCAGCGCCTGGAAACGGGTCCTGGCGGCAACTCCGTGGCGGCGGCGAGGGACGGACTGCAGAAGGTGCGGCCCATGATTGAGGCAGCGCTTGGCCCCTCTACGGCGGGGACGAGCAAACGACCGACTGACGTTTGCCATCTACTTTCCGTGACGTCCAAGCTGCAGGATGCCCGAGATATGAGTGAGTTATCCCGTGCTGCGCTTGCACTTTTACCACTCGCGTTGGCCTCTGCGTCTGCGAAGGATATTTGCGTGGTACTTCAGGTGTTGGTGCGATTGCGTACCAGTGCACCGGAGGTGATAGCGTCACCGATGGTTCGGCGTGTCCTTGAGGCGGTGCGTCCAAAGCTGTTTCTCATCGCTGAAACCCATCCAGGCTCACTGCGACATATCGAGTGTTCCTTGCTGATGTCGACTCTCTCTCGTCTTGACGAAGAACTGGCGGATGACCTTGTGAATCTCCTTTGCGGCTGTTTCTCCGCTTCCATGGAGCTGGTACAGCCAGCGCAACTTGTTCCGTTTCTCCAAGGCCTCGCTAGGTGCAGCGAGGCGGCCTCCCGACACTCGGATGAGGCGCACCATGTGCCCTTCTGGGAAGTTGCCCGTCTCCCATCGGTGCTTCCGACCATTGAGCAGGCCGCCGATCGTGCTACCGCCTGGGCGGCGGCCGGGACCTTGACGGGCTTGGAGTCGGCACAGTTGCTACTTCTTTTTGCACGGCTGCGGTACGCCAGGGTTACCGCCGTCTACGTGGCCTTGGAGCCGAAACTGGCGTTGACCGTCGATCGCTTGTCAAAAGGCCTCTCCGACGATGGCAACAACGGCCGTGTCGCGGATGTTGCTCGTAGCACCGGTGACGAGGACGTCGTTGGCGGCGGCGACGGCGGGTTGAGTCAGGGGTCAAAGCAGCAGGCGTTGGGTGCCGCCGGCATGATTTCGCTTACTTCGGCCCTAATGAACGCCCTGGCCGTTTACCGAGATGAGGCGGTGACTGTCACACGAGAGGAGGAGGTGTCGCTCCAGCGCGCAGAAAATTTATATGAGACCCTACGGCAAGGTGCCGTGGGAAGCATCGCGCGAACGGATAACCCAAAGTCGCTTGTGATGCTTCTGCACCTGCTCCTGTCTGAAGGGAAGAAGGCAGGAGGAAGAGGAGGAGGAGGGGTAAATGCCGCTCTGGAAAATGATATGACGGCGGCGGCTGCTTCCTCCTTCCCCTCCTCTCGGCCGCTGGATGTGGTGGGTGGACAGGTGTGTCTTGTCGCACCTGCCACGAACGCGTACGAGGTTGGGGCCATCGCCAAGGCCCTTGGAGAATTGGTGGCGCATGAACTGATCGGGGAGGCGGAGGCGCAGCGGGCCATGGAAGCAATTTTGAGCCGGAGCGAGGCGGTTGAGTTGAGTGTTTACGATGCGCAGTCCCTGCTGGAGGGGATGCGACGGGTGCGTGTGGTGTCCATCCCTCCGGCCTTTCTCCACCGTCTGGCGACGCTGCTGCAGACGACACCCAACAAGACGGCATGGGTCCTGCGACGCCTGCTTCCGGTGTTGAAGACGGTCACATTGACGTCCGCTGCGCTGGAGGCATTGGTTAAGCTGACGGAAGTGGCAATGGCAAATGCATGCGCTTTGATGTCCACTAACGCCTCATCGCCCCCGCCGCTTCGTGAAACCGCACTTTTTGCCCATGTCTTGGCGCAGCTGTACGGTTTCTCCTCGGAAGCTCTCGTGTCGAACGTTGCGGCGAAGGAGGGAGCGGAGGTGACGGAGGAGTTGGGGGAGGAGGAGGAGACCGTAGCGGAGGAAACCGAGGAGGCAGAAGCAAACTGTTTGGACGATACTGCTGCCGATGAGCCTGATGAGTTTAGGCAACACCTAGAAAACGTGACGAGACAAGCATTTTCAGCCCTGGGAGATGTTGCCTGTTCGTCCCTGCAGCAACTCGGCGATTCCAGTGATGGCTCACAGTGCACGACGCAGATATCACCGAAGGAGGTTGTGATGCTTGTGCAGAGTTTTGAAAGAGTGGGAGTGAGGCATCACACGCTCCTCTACGAGGTTGTTCCGTTCGTCCGAGACATGTCGGCGGCCATGGAGCCGTTGGAGCTGTCCCTACTGCTTAATGCCTTCGCTCGTCTTGGCGCATGGAACGGGCAAGTTTTAAATACACTGGCGGGTAATGTTGCGGCACAGGTAAATACATGTAGCCTCAAGCAGTGTCAGTCCATCTTACAGGCCCTCCAGTCCTCTGGGTTTCTTCGCCCTGGTGTCTTCTTCCCGACTGCGGCGTACAAGGCAAGCCTGGAGCAAGATTGGCGCCCTGCGTGTGCCCCAACAGCACAGGCGTCCATCAATCCCCTTGTATTGCTTGCGACAAGCGTTGTGGATCGTATGACGAGACTCATTGAACGCCCCGAGTCCATCCCTGCCTTGTTGGAGGCCCAGAGTCTGGAGGACGTCGCCGCTGTCGTTCGGGTTTTGGGTTTTTTTGACCAACCGCCACAGCCGGCCTTCGACACGTACTTTGCGATGGCGGTGGATAAGTTCCTGTTTGCCAGGAAGTCTCTTGTGGGCGCCGCCTCACCACGTCAGCAGCGGAACTGGTTGATGATGGCCCTCGCCCTTAAAGGCCACGTGGGCAAACTGCGGCGCTACCATCGTCAGTGCGTCTCTGCTCAGGCGATATCGTGCGCCGTCACTTCCCACCAAACGGCTTTCGTCTCGCTGTCACCGGGGCTGCGACTGATGCCGGAGGAAAAGGTGGCGGAGCTTTATGGCACTTGCTCTGTATGTGCCATGCTCTACCGCGGAAGCTTTTCTCCGGAAGAGGCCTCACCGTTTTTGGAAGTTATTTCCGAGAAACTGCGGGATGAGGATGTGTCCCGAAACCCCCGCCGTGTCAGTAGCGCGCTGCGACATTTGACAAAAACCTCTTGTAGGCACATCGGCGCTCCACGTGTTGTCTATCAGATTGCGTTGGACTCGGCGCAGCGCCTTGTCGCGCAATTGCAAGGCACTGCGGCCGAGGAAGAAAGTGGCAATGCACCTGTGTGCTCTGCTTCAGCTGCCGCAGCGGTGGCGGAGGTTCTTTGCATGAATCATCTTGTGTTTCCCCCGCCTTTGGCGGGGGACGCAGAAGCACTGCTTCCAATGTTGTTTTTCTTCGTGGATCAATTGCGGAAGAACGACGTTTCAAAGCTTTCCGTCACAGAGGCTTCCATCCTTGTCTTGGCCACTGCCACTGGGACAGCTGTGGCGGGCCGTTGTCCGGTGAACGTGAAATGGCTAGATGAAGTGCAGCATGACATTATCTTGAAGGAGAGGCATATGTCCGTGCATGATGCGGTGAGTATCCTCCTTGCTGGGGCGCTGTGCCCCGATGAACGTATTGTGCGGGCAGAGACAGTGCAGTCGGCCTCGCGTGTGCTGGTGAGTCAGATGGGAAAAACCGATTGGACGGGGTTGTGGTTATTGCCCGAGCTATACCGTCTTATGATGGCGGGTGACGCCTGCCTCATGGCGCAGTGCACACGGCTCCAGGATGCGGCTGCTGATGGCGCTGCCGCTTCAGATGCTGGCGGCGTGTTGGAGGTCGTTGAGCGAGTTCTGCCGGCGCTACTGCGGGCGACGCGCTCTGCCGCAAAGGACGTCGCACCGACGTTGTCTTTGCAGTGCCGGGCGGACCTGGCTGAGGTATACCGGCGCCATGCGACGACGCAGGGGGATGACGCGGGGCTGGCCGAGGCCCTCGCGCAACTGCTGGAGGAGCAGGAGTCGTGTGTTTCCCTGCATTCCAACAAATACACGGCGTGAAGCGGATTAACAAGAAAAAAGAAGAGAAAATAAAAAAAACAGCGAAGTTGGGGAGGAAGGGGAAGGACATTAGGCGGAAAAAGAAGTTTTCTTTTGCGAGTTTGTGGAAATGACAAAAAAACCCGTTTAACGGAGAGAGAGAGAGAGAGGAGGGGGG